CAGAGAAACAGTTGAACCACCAAAGGTACGCCAACTGATACCTCTCCAAGATTTTGTAGCTTTAGCTGTCTTATGGTAAAAACCATTTAAGGTACTGTGAACACAACTTTTAAACCACCATCCACCATCTCCATGATCGGTGGAACAACTTTTTGAATTTTCATCGTTGTCCTGATCTTCCGTCGAGAAACGTGAACCGTTGTGATACTTAAGTGAATCACCTGTTTTGATACACAAAAACAATTCTTAACATTATCTACTAAAAACATAACAGTCTGTTCATTGTAGATAATGTGTTCCACAAACCTAGAATATGTGATAATTTCACAATGGCATTGAACATAGCAAATGTATTTTATTCATCATAGATTATCATAAAAGATAGATTTGAATTTTGTATTTTGAATGTTTTTATAAAGATGAGTAAAGATAATTAAATAAAAGCCTACACATTCAAAAAGACGCATTTCCAAGTGCTAGAAAAGATCTAATGATAGGTAAATAAAAGTAACTCTATATCGTCTAAAATCTTTACGTAGATGTACATTTCAAAAATATCTTTATAACAATTGTTCGCTTCGAAACTTTTATGTAATAAAATTAACCTTTAAGTCGGATGTTTTTTTGTGATTTGTCAAAGTAAGGCGTTACTATGAACTTGCGCCAACTGTGTTTTAATCTCTTTATGTCATTCTGAAAGAATCTTTCTTCTTGGTCCTCAATCACTGACTAGAACGGTATGTACGAGATCATCATCACTCAGGAATCTTTGACCTTTCAAGAAAAAAACGTTAAAGTTGGGAAAAAACGTTTCTGGAGCTAAATGCAGTCAATACGGGTGAGGGGGGGGGATTTAAGTATTGATGATTAATGTTCAAAGCAACAAGCTGTTTTTGAGCACCTTTTCTATTGATTTCTTGACACAAATTGTTGATTAAAGATGCATAGTAAGCTCCTGTAACGGTTTGATAACTTGACAAATACTTAACTAGTTAAATGCCCTTGGATCATAAAAAAAATTGATGCCATGATATTACCAGCAGAGAGTTGTGAGTTGAGCTTTATTGTAGTGGGTGTATTTAAGTGTTTCCAGTGCAAGCTTTGCGTTTTTTCTCTGTGTCGAAGTGATGAACACGCGTTTCATCCATAGTTACAAATCCATTGAAATCTTTGGAGTATACGTTGGTATTCAATGACTCGGATCCATTTCTGCTCAGGTGACGACATTTCTAGAACCCAATTGGTACTAACCATTCTCATGTCCAAACTGTCACTCAAAATACTTGTTTCAGTACTTTTACCGAATCCAACTTTGTAACTTGTAATGGTAATTCTTATATCACATGTAATAAAATCATGAAATTTATCAACAACTTCTATTGCGTTCGATGTCGAGAGGCGACCTGACCTCGGTTCATCATCACATGGTTGTCTTAAACTCACCACAACACTTTTTAACTCTGGAATATGTCGGAGCAAACTCTCCTAATGCTGCTTTCTTGTTATGGTGAATTTCCTGAGGTGACATTTACTTTATAACAAAATGTTTGATCATCGCATGAAGATCGAGGTTTTTTTACGTTTAACACTGCTGAAAATTTAACATCACACATAATGAGCTGGTTAAGTTATTTGTTACGAGTTGTTTACTCATAAAAAGATTCAAGAAAATACAGTAGCAAAAACTGAACATATATTGTTAATTTTTTGTTCAACATCTTTGATATTATAAACAGTGTAATGTATTTACTCCGCTTATCTATAGAACTGAAGGTTTGGAAATATTGGGAACATCATAATGAATTTTACGCCTCTAAAGCTAAGAATATTTTTTACTTTCAGTATGTGTTAAGGTAGAAATATATAACCTAAAATATATCCTTACCGGCATCGCCACTATAGGAACCAAGAAACATCTGATATTTTCTTCTCTCACTCATTACAAAAAAATTTGAAAACTTAGCATAGGCTGTTTTCCCTGAGAAATCTTCTAAATCCACTCTAAGCTCCACATCTTTGTGATTTGTCAAAGCAAATATTTTGTCGTTTCCTTAAACATAAATTTATATTGAAATTATTCTGAAACACAAATAATTTCACCAAATTTGATGTTTTAGCTTAACAAGAGTTATTAAAAAACGAAACAGCTGTTCATGAGGTTAATATATTACATAAAATAATGACCTGGAGAATGGTCTTAATCAGGTCGGTCAAATTTAGGACACAAATTAGACTGAAAAAATACCAATAGTATCTGGTTTAATTCTGCATGCGTACTGTTCATTAGTTAAACAACAGAAATAAAATATTGTTTTGTATCAAACTCCACTTAATCTAACTAAAAGAAATAATTTGTTTCTATCTCCGACCTTTAAATATTCTTTGATTTAAAAAGCATACCAACCAAGCCAAAAATCTTCATTCAGCGATCCAAATCCAACACTGTACTGATACCAAGATCGATTGAAATCCTGGGGTTTATCGATGTAGTACCCGCGTCGTTGTATTATCTTTAATAAAGAAAATATATTGTGATTTAGCACTTTAGACGTTATTGAAAAAATATAAAGTTAAATATATAGAAGATAAGTATAAAAGATGTAAAGATATAATAGTATGTTTTTTAACCAAGTGAAACTAATGATTTCACACTATTAGTTTGAAATTCGCTCAAAGGGCTATTGATTAGTTTCATTAGGTTAAATTGCATAACATAAATGAATAAGGTAAAAATATTGTCAATATCGCAATACCAATACTTATATTTCTATAAAAGCAAAGATGGTTTTCCAGGTTTATAGACAAAAGAAAAACGAAAATATTTAGAAATATTTGCTTTGAAACTCGCGGAAAGCTACACGAAGACTATCTGAGCTAGCCGTCTTTAGTTTACCAGTGAAAGGCTAGAAGGAAGACAGCTACACATCACCACCCACAGTCATCTCTTGGGACACTCTTTTACCAAGGAATAGTGGGATTGACCGCTTTATATGCCTCCACGGCTGAAAGGGCGAGCACGTTTCGTTGGACAAGGATTCGAGAACGTGACGCGCAGATTGTCGGTAGAGCGCCCTAACCACCTGGCTATGTCAGGCCTAGTTTAAAGAAAAGAAGCGATACTCATATAGAATATTTGAACTTGTTAACTTTTATTTATTAGGCTTAAAGGCAACGTTGAGAATAACCAGGTCTACTCTATCTGGCCACGGTTCTTAAGTGAACCACTTCAAGTTGTATGTGACATGGACACAGAAGGCGGTGGATGGACGGTAGGAGTGTGTGCTATATTTGTAAACTTCTTCTTATTAGTATTAATAGAATATTAAATTAATTTAACATTTATGTGATTTTTAAATTTATTTAAACTATTATTTGTAAACTTATTATTATCAGTTGAAGAATTATTTCAATATTTTATTCAGATATAGGTATTGCAATTAGATAATCAGAAAAACTTAACATTTATATGATTTGAAAATTAATTATCTAAGGAAGTAGACCTCAGTTGTTTGTGTGTTTGTTAGATCAAAGCTACAATGAGTTATCTGCTTTGTCCACCGCGGATAATCAAACACCGAATTTTAGCGTTGTAATCAGTAAACTTACCGCTGTCCCACAACGGTACGCTTTGAAAGGAAAAAATTTTCCAGGGTTAAAAAGTATTTATAATTCTCTGTTATATCTAAGCTAAACAAATACGTTTATATATATTTCGAGACCTTAGCCAGATAAAGACAACAAAGATGTATTACAATGTGTAGAGGGGAAAAACGACAAAGTTACATCGAAAATCAGTCATTCAAAATCAGTGAGAAACTTTAAGAAACGTAACTGATTACACAACATTGTGAATATAAATTACATAAAAGTTGTTTTGGTTTTAATAACGGATTTTCCATAATTCAGCTACCCAAAGTTTGAAAATAATATTCATTTTTTTCTATTATGTAAGGATTTTTTACGAATCGGAAAAAAACTCTTACTTAGGCCAAATTATTATTTCGTTTACCACAATGAACATTTTTTACTATTATGTTTGTTAACAAAAATACAAACAAACTGAAGAAAAAAGAATAACATTGATGTCAAACGAATATGCATCCTCATTCATCCCGATTTTTTTGTGTGAAATCTACGTCTTTTAGTCTCAAATCTACATGTTGTGGTCTTTGTTTTATATATTGCGTTATGACGTTTTGCGAAAAATCTGTATGTGATGGAGAAAAATGGATATCATTTTCGTATTCAGCGTACAGGAATTACAGTCGAAAATATAAAGACAATAAAACTATCACAGGCCTGTGTTATCTGTATGCATAGTGAATTATTAAATCAATCAGAATTACGCTTCTGCATAAAATGTATTATCGTTAGGAAGGACATTGAATAATTTTTGATTAAATTCAGACTCTGATATTATGATAAAGTTCATCTCTTTAATGTTGATTATTGGAAAAGGATCAGTAAGGTTTAATTCCTGCACGAAAGTGAAGTCGTAAACCAAAAGATGAATTATAACTAATCTATAGATAGAAAAAAAAGTGGAACATGTTTTAAATTTGGCTATTGTTATAATTTAAAGATGCATTTCCGCCACCTGAAAACAAGACTTGTGTCAATACGACAATGTTCACAGACTGTGCAGATTTGACTTGAAGGACATCTTAGATGCTTTACCTACGACTGTGTGGGGAATGGTGAATCTAATTAAAGAAAAATTGAAAGGTACGGGATGTGGTTTGTTAACTCTAACCCTAGAGAGCGATAATTATTAAAGTCTAGTTTGAGGAAAGAATTACATAAACAGTTTGTCGTTAAACAATCTCTAAATATCTTTTTATAAGGTCGGTACTTATTTGGAATTAAGACACTGACTCACATTACGTAATCCTTTACTAGAGTTAACCGTATAAAAACCTATTTTATTCATCTATGTTTCTCGACCGGTGGATCAGCAGTGAGTTTACGAACTCAAAGCGTTAAAATTCGGGGCTCGATTCCTGCGGAAGACAGAGAACAAATAGCGCATGGTATATTGTTTCCACTAAGATACAACCACAACCACTAATCTAGAAATATATTCTTATCAGATCCATACTTATTTAAAGTAAGACACTGAATTATACAGCATAATGATATCATTTATTAAAAGTTTATATGATAAGCTTGTTATGCGAGTTTTATCAATGTTTACACCTCTAAATAAACAAACAAACAAAAACAACCAGAAAAATTTATAACACATTATCACACAGCGTAATTTGTGAAAGTTTGCTTAATAAAGTAATATTGCTCAATTCCTAAGTTCACCTCACCTCATTACTGGATATTAAAGATTATTAAATGTAACCAGTACCTTCATGTGTTGAATGTCTGTGTCTTTTACAGTTCCTTAAAAATCACTGTATAACAATTTAGTACAATGTAAGTTAGAAATAGGCGTTATATATGATCAGAGTAAGGCTGATAGTAAATGTGACTTACCCTTTCTTACTGATCAAATGCGAGCTTACATTAATTAAGAAGAGCATCTCAACTGTGCTATCATAGTGTAAGCCAAACAAAGAATGAAGTTTGGCCAAACTAAGAACTATTTTTATTATTCAAGTTCCAAAGTTTATAATTTTTCAGTATATCGAAGGAGTGTAATTACTTTTCACATTATACAAATGAATTAAAACATTCTATATATATATATATTTAACATTTATATTACAACTTATGAAATGTACTATACAATGCTAACATGTTTTATTTCATGATCTACAGGTTGAAAATATGACTTCTTAATTATCCTCTTGTTTTATTTGTTTAATTTGTATTCATAAATATTTCTGTGTAGTTCATAAAAAATAATAATGAATCCAATAAATATAATTATTACAAATAACAAAGTAAGGTAGTAAACAAGCCTGACAACAATAAATGATTAGATTCCGTTAAACCTTTTTTTATCAACACACAAAATTATTAAAATAACATAAATGAGGACACTCAGAGACATCTATAGAGGATAAGTGAAAATCGAGCACTTCTCTTTTATATGATGTGGTAATTGAATAACTCAATACTGTCTTTTGTACATTTTACATTTTCTAGGATATATAAAATGAATAATATAATGTTTCTTCAAAACTATCAATGTAATAAATACTCAGCAGTTTTATCTCGATAATCTATAAAGTAAAAAACAGCTATTATAATAAACAACACATTATAAATATTGGATCATTACAAGTATATATCATTAAAGTAGATTATCAATTTCACGATAAATATTCTCTTTACATGATATCCATTCTGTAAGTTTTTATTATTTTCTGATTTAATATTAATGTTACAAGATAATCCACAAAACGGTATCGCTAGCCCTGATAGTTAAGTAAGTATTCAAGGCACGAAGATGTGAGAGTGATACACACGTAAAGGTAAGTATTCGCTTATGGAAAACACAATCAATGTTCAAAATACGAAACATAGAAAGATGTGTGTGATAAACGTTTGATGCTGAAAATTAAACAAAAATAATAAGTTGAGTAATTGAAATATAAATTCTGAAAACAGCCAATCAATGATTAGATCGTAAAGAATTTCACGCAAAACTATACTACATTTTATTATCCGTTTTCGATTATTAAGCCAAATAAATACTTCACAAATTGGTTAATAAAATACCATAATGTTTTCAAACAAAAATGTTACCATTATAGTATTCAAACTCAGAATTTCAAGACAATAAACAAGCTAGATAGATAATAATTAAACATTTAAAGTCGTCCAAGAATTGTTCTATAATGTATTATCACCAACACTAAAGGTATATGGAAAAATACCCTTTATAAAACACGTATTAGCCTTAACTAATTTCATCTGAAGGCTTATAAATATACCTTAAAAACCAGCATATGTTTAATTAAGAGAAGCTGATTTATAAGATACTATTTCTTCTCGATGGACAAAGAGCAGAGACTCTATTTGGCTATAAAAACCAACCAACCAACAAAGGTATAGAAAAACTACATATCTGTTAGCTGCGTCCTCTATAGACAAAATAAGTAACTATAACAATAGTGTAAGGCGTACCATAAATAACGATATAAAACATTGTAACAAGCCTTATAATACACATGCGTGATAACGGTGAAACTAAATCTTTACTAAACACATATATGTAATCAGTACTTCTTAAGACTATTTTCTATATGAACTCAGTTGTCATTCCTTTAGCCTAAAGTAAATTGAGTGAAACTATACAAATATGATATAAACCAGTATACTTTTTTTTATGAGAAGCTATTTTATAAGAGACAAAAAATAAATATTATTGAAGGACTCACAAAATGGTTAAGAAACGCGAATAATGAAAGAGAAATGTTGATATACACAATGGGACAATGGGAAATCCCAGGGACAATCGGAAATCGAAAGTCATTTTTACACTATAATTCTTGTCAGTAGCGTCCTCTGGTAATACAAATCTCAATTAGCTTAATTTTTGATGTAGGACGTGGTATAAACATTATTATAAAACCTACTAACAGTTGCGAGATAACATTGAACCTAAATCTTGACTAAACACATATATACGTAATTATTAAATTTTGTGATTATTATTTTATTTGAGATTCAGTTGTCATAGCTTTAGGAATCTAGAATCATTGATGAAAACACACACTGGGACTATCTTTTAAATAAACCCGATATTTAAAGGTTAGTCACTTAGCGTGATGTATTTGGTAATATATGACAGTTAGTGAATATTGTAATAAACAAGTTAATTGTGGGTTATGTAGAAGTTCTCATGCATTAGGTATTAACTTGACGATGAAATTAAGGAGTCTTAACCTGGTCAAGAATACAATTTATATTAAGGAAACTGAAATGCGACAACAAGCTGAGAATCACGAAACCTCTGAGCACTTTAATATCTGAATCACCTCCA